TATATACCGCATATGGTAGTTGCAATTGGTGAAGTATCGATAAATTGAGACTGAAGACAACACTTGCACCGACAATAATCGTCGTCTTGCTGTAATGTAGTAGTATATGAAGTTGAACGTAGAGGAGATGGACTTGATACTTCGGACGAAATTCCACCTGGACAGGTGTAACAACATGGACTAGTGATTCGTTGATTCAAGCAAGCTAACTGACGTGTCAATTCCACATTTTCCTTCACGACTATTCTCATTTCAGCTTGTAGCCCGCATACCTTCCTTTGAAGACTTTCAACAGCGGTATCTTTTTCTAATAATGCTTCTTCTAATTTATATCTAAGACGTCGATAAGTTAATTTTTGTAATAAAAATAAGATCACATGATTTATGTCAACATATTTTCATTAAAGATAATCTATACGATCGTTGTTAAGGAGATTAATTAGTTTTCACATTTTTTTGATCGATTTTCTATTTTTTTTCTTTTTTTTTTTTTTTCTTTTCTCTAATATATATGTATAATATATGTAATGTAATATATACAATATGTGATATCGGTAATTATGTAAAATGAAGTTATGCCTTGTAAAACTTACTTGCCACCTTCAAGCTGTGCATTTTCTAATACTAATTTTTCCTGCATTGTTAACGATTCTGTTAACTTTCCGGTCAAACTTTGAAGGCATCTATCTTTCCCTTTTTTTTTACTATCTGCCACAACTATTTTTGGTATTTCATCTTCTGTATGCCCACAGATGATTACTCTTGGAAGTCTAATTGAATAACCATTCGATTCTTAGAAATATTATATATTCTTAAAAATTAAATAATGTTATATAACGTACTTGTCTTCTGGATATTCTATTTGAGGTAAATCGAAACGATGTTTAAGTTTTTCTAATTCCATATCCGTTATTTTGTCTATTTTCTCCTTTATTTCGATTTCTTCTTCTTCGGTGATAACCTACGATTTATTTTTTCTTTTATATTCTTTTTTTTTCTTATTTTTTTACATTCTTTTCCCCCTTATTCATTTTAATGATTGCTAGAAATACCTACTGCACTAGGTTTTAAAAAAGGTTGCATATCGAACATCTTTGCAAAAGTAGAACTTGAGATATCGGTCAATCCCAACAATCGTTGTAATTTTCGCGTTATCTGCTCGAATTCTGCCAATTTCTTCATTACTTCATCTTGTTTTTCGTGAATTATTAATGTATCGTCATCCGTTAAATCTTTTTTCTAATAAAATTTAAATAAACATTAATTTTAAATAATTAAATTATGCTTTTCAAATCTTATTTTAAATTAAAATTGTTTTAATTTGTTTCTCGTAGAATTATTACGTTTGAAAGCGCGGCTATTTCTTGTTTTAACTGCTCGATTTCTTTTGAAAGCACAACGCAACGTTCATCCGCTTTCTTCATTTCGACCATTACAGCGCTATCGGTCAAAGGAGACGAACTTAATACCGATTCCTGTTTACCACCTTGTTTAATTGGCACACCTGAAAAAATATATATTATGAATATTTACAAAATAATTTAAAAATTTTTTTTTATAATCTTATTTTTTTTTTTTTTTTCTGTGATTTATAATATTATACCTTCACCGACACCAGGAGGAAGTGGATATGATGGAGGTCGTTCTTCCTTCTTTTCCGGCTCTTTTTCTTCGCTTATCATTTTCGATTTTTTTTCTTTGCTTTCTTCGTCTTCTTCTTTTTCTTCTTCTTCTTCTTCTCCTCCTCCTCCTTCTCCTTCTCCTTCTCCTTCTTCTCCTCCTATTCCTCCTTCTTCTTCTTCTTCTTCTTTTAAATTTTCCTCGATATTTTCATCAGGAACTTCATCTATTATTTCCTCGCCTTCTTCAGCCATGCTTCGTAATTAAATAAATAAATTTATTATTAAATAATTCAACGATGTTAAAAATTAACATCTTTAAAATTTAAAAATTAAGTATCTCGTACTTTGGAATAGATTCTTTCTTTTCTTCTTTCAACGTTTCAATTTCTTGTAATTTTAATGTTTCAAAATTTGATTCTTCTTTAATTTCCTTTAATTTGTCCTTGTAATCATTCACTTCATAAGTCTATTCAAATTATTTTGAATTAGCTTACAAAGATTTATTTATTCTTAAATATAATATTGAATCCGAATTTATTACGGAATTATTACTCTTATTAACTGTTATTAACTGTTGGATAATTTAAATACATAATACCAAAATCACACCCGTTCAAGAATGTGTGGTTCGAGATCCACTTGTTGCAGAAATATTGATTCAACAAAATTTTTGGAATTCTTCGAATTTCTTGATATAAAAGGTGACAGATGTCCCTCTTGATGATATTCAATCGCTAACGAACATATGTCTGGTAAATTTAAAGGCTTTTTTAAATCGAACAAAGATTCTAACGAGCCAAACGCATCTCTTTTCAATGAAGATTCTCTGTATTCTGCACTTTTTTTTTGTAATTTTGGACTACACCTTTTCAAACGCTTTAAATCGTGAAAACTTTTAGTTTTAACAGGAACACCATCGAGTTCGCGAGCATGAAGAGATGTTGGTGAATTTCTTGGAGAACTAAATGTATTCCATGAACACGGCCTCCGCTTCTAAATTAATTAAATCGATTTTTCTTAAATATCCATTTATCATTTATAGATAACTAAACTGTTGTAAGAAATTTTTTCAGAAAGTACCTACTTCATATAATGAAATGATTTTTCAAAATTGAAAGAAATATATTAAAAATTTAATCAATATTTTACCTTCATTATTTTACCTTCGATACAATACCGTTGCTTCACTTAATAATACAAGGTTTTTACAACACTATTGCAAATTCTAGAACAATGATCCTCTTCTCTCGTTTATTCACTGAAGGAACGGTATCGCTATCAAATTGCGTCGAACGATTTCTCTATTTTTGTTTCGAAATTATCTTTTTTTTTTTTTGGGTTGTAATTTTTATAGGTCTAGAAACTGAAATGCACAATGGGTTAAAACGATAATCAATTTATAAATTTCTTGAAATTTAAAAGAAATCAAAAAAAAAAAACTTTTTTAAATTATGACACTTACTCGGGAGAACCTTCAATTTCTTCAAATATCAATATGAAGCATGCGTCTTTTATTTTTATTTTATACAGTTATATATTTAAACTTATCGATACAACAGTATCCAAGGCATATCCATATTTATATAAAAAAAACATAATAATCGAGTTAAAAATGTTTTTCTATATTATTTAACATTAATAAATAATATAAAAAAAGAAAATATTGTTAATTTAGATTTAATATTAAAGTAATATTAAAATGTTCTAATGAATAATATCAAGGACGTACCAACATTGTGCATGCAAATTCTTTTACTTATTATACATTTAATTATTTAATAACAAAGATAATAAAAAATATGTGTGATAATTAAAATGTATGTAAGTAATTATTTTTATTGCCATAATTAACATATATATTAACAATGATATGCATATGTGAAAATTAAAATTATTTACATCTGTCATTTTAATAAATATTTTAATAAATACGTTCGTGAAACAATAATGTTGAGTCAAGAGATAAAACAAAAAAAAATTTACTATCTAAAACTGTAAGTAATATTTCATTAATATTTCATTCGGAATATCAGGTATCGGTATCATTTTTGTGACGATACTATGTTTCTTTATAAAAGGTCACGAAATATACGTTGTATTTATTGTTGTATTTGATTTATTATATTTGATTCGCAGAACGGATCTAAAGAACATAAATATAAAACGAGAATTTTTATTTATTTAAAATTCTAGTCATTTAAAAGTACAACATGTATATTTATATGTGTATATTCATAAATAACAATTAATAATTTAGATATCTGTAAAATGGAGGTTATGGATTACGGTAAGTAATTTTTAATAAAATAACACAAATATTAATGGTATAAATATTCTTGCAAATAAGAATATATTATTTTTATATTTTTTATATATTATATTATAAGAAACATTACAAATTACTTTTAAAATCATAAATTGAAAGGTAAAAGAAATTATTTATATATGTAAAATTTTATATATTAAGTAAGAATTTATAATTATGATGATAATTGCAACAATTTATTTCAATTTTGGTGATATATTGTAGTAGAAGAAGCGGTACAAGTAGATGATGTAGCAAATTATTCAGAAGAATCTGACAATAATGATAATGCTAATGATAATTTAGAAAATGAAATTCAAACGGAAAACATAAGTGAGTTTTAATTTATATATTATTATTATAATAAATATCCTTCGGATTGAAGTGAATATAATATTGCGTATAACATTTTAGAAGTTAGTGATGAAACTGAATCAAGAAGAATAAAGAAGATAAAAGAAACAACTTTAGATGAATCTGAGATTGATTCTGACCAATCTTGCCCGATATGCATGGATTTATGGACTAGTTCTGGGGATCATCGTTTATGTTGTTTACGATGTGGACATTTGTTTGGACATAGTTGCATTTTAAGGTGGTTACAAAATTCTTGCACTAGTGCGAATCGTCGTTGTCCGCAATGTAATAGAAAAGCTGCTGTAAAAGATATCAGAATGTTGTATGCCAAAAAATTGACATCGATAGATACTACGGAATTAGATAAATTGAAAGAACAATTGAATAGTATTACTACTGAGAAAAATCGTATAGAAATGGAACTTTCGAAATATAATCTAAGAGAAAAATTATTTGAACAACAAATTGCTAGTATGAGAAATCGGATTTCCGAATTAGAAAATCAGCAATCGGAAATAACTGTTCATTCGTGTCAAAATATTTCTAAACATACGATCAAGAAGTTCCATTTAGATCGATCTATAGAGATATGTAAGGAAGGTGGTTGCCGTGTATTAGATTACAATTCATGGTTTGGATTCTTAGTTGTATCTCAGAAATCGACAAATACATTATTTTCTGGTTATGGTATTAAAAAAATTGATTCTGATAAATTTCAACCACGTCAATTTATTTTTCTACATAACCAAGCTATAAGAGATGTTACGTTTAATACAACTCAACAATCATTATTGCTCAGCGTTGGTTTTGATAAATGTGCAAAATTAATGGATATCCAGAATCATATTATCGTACATGCTTATCAAACGGAATCACCGCTGTGGAGTTGCTGTTGGTCAGGCGATAATTCAAACATATTTTTTGTGGGTGCACAAAATGGATCTATAACGCAATTTGATATTAGACAAACTTCTGGTGCTATTGAAACTTTAGATAATCCAGGTGATAGATCACCGGTAGTTTCTCTAGCGACAGTATCTTCTAATCCTGGTAGCGGTATTAGCCGGGGTGGATTCATAGCGTGTCGTTTGAATACGTGTTACGCTTATGAACAAAAAGATTCAAAATATACGCCTAAACAAATATTTCTTGAAGGTCCATTTGTGTCTGTATGTTATGATAAAAAGAATAATCATGCTTTAATATCTTCCCGACCAAATGTTAGACAACCTCATGCGAGACATATAGTATGTACCATAGAAAAAGGCAATGATGAATCAACAATTTGTAATGTAATACACACATTTCATGCTGGTAATTCTCAACAATTATTGTCCCGTCCATGTTACATATATATTGAAAATGATACATTAGTTGCTGCGCATCAAGAATCTACTAGTTGTATATCGTTATGGAGTATATCTACTGGAAAACAAGTAAATAGTATCCCTGTTTCTGATCCTGTAGTAGATATGTGTACGGTTGATGTTAATAGCCATTTATTTTTGACAACGCTTTCTTCAAAAAAAATTAGAATTTATAATCATGGATAATTATCATTGGTAAATAGAAATAGTAAAAAAATAAAAGTAAATAGAATTAATTTTTTTTCATATATCATATATTTATAATGTAATAGATTATTATCAATAACATTATACATATATATATATATATATATATATATTTTTTTATTATTTTTTTATGTTTGAATAATATTTGTTTGCATAAAATTATTCATGATAAAAATAAGTAAAAAATATAAAACTTGATCTAGACTATTCTAAATAAAATAAATTTTCTTATTAATGACAATGCAAAAACTTTCCACGTATTTATACAACATAAATTATTAAAAAAAGAATGTTAAGAAGAAAATTAATATTACCGTTACCTATTTAAAGATATATTTGTTTATTGCTATGTATATATGCAATAAACATTTTTTATATAAATATATTTTTCTATCAAATTAATATTTATAAGTTGTTTTGAACATTATTTCTGAACAATATTCTAATAAATTTGAATAGCAACATCATAAATAATTATATGTTTATATTATATAATTAAATAATATAATAAATGATACAAAAAATTTATTAAACTTAAAATTATCGATATAATAAAATAAAGAATTTTTTTGTACGAATAATTCCTATTGCTTTTTATTGAAAAATGTTATTTATTGTTATTCTTAAAATATTAAATTACATTTAGAATCTATATAATGCTCTAATCGCAAATTAAATTAATGTATATTTATTTTCAAAGATTTGTTTCGAAATCAAATATAACAAATAGTATTCTAATCCACTGGTATATCTTTAACATAGCCTATACAAAATTATTAGAAAATACAGAAAAAAATGTAAAAAGAAAATTAAAAATTTCGCAATGCGTTAAAAAAAATATATAAATTTTAAAGAAGATAACATGCTACACGAGTCATCTTTTGAACAAATTTCAACAAATGTATTCTATAATATGATTAGCTATTTTATCAGTGATTTGAGAATAATTATTTTCTCAAATTTTATAATTTATAAATTTTTTTAAGCAATTTTTCACAAACACATTGTAATAAATTTTATTAAATATTTTTAGTTAGATATAAATTACTTTAAATTTTTTTAAATTTCATAAGCTGGAAGTGTCAATTGAATCAATGCCATTTTTTGTATTTTTGATTTTTAAATGTTATTTAGAAACAAAATTTATTTTGTAACATTATTCTAATATATACGTAATATGTGATAAATGTAAATGTTTTTAACATGGAATGTACATCTCCAGCTTCGAGTACAAAAAACTATGCATACATAAAAAAAAAATATTTATAAACGATATGATAAATATTATGAATCATTGGAAATATATAACCCATCACCAAAAATGTACAGAATTTAAATATCAACGGTATAACATTTATGTTTATGATTCTTTTTACAAATTCCATTTAATATTAACAAGTTGATATCTATAATGTACAATCAGATATAATTAAGATAATATAGAGATAATAAGCCTCTTCATGGCTTAAAGAAATCTACAAAAATCTAATGACAAAAATATAAACTAATCATGGTTTTCATTTTAATATAAAAAACCATATACAAGATAGATATCTTTATATCATCAAAATGAAATAATGCTATTCTTTGCAAAAAATTTTTCAATAAAGAGCACAAATATATATATATATATATATATATATATA